CATATGGAAAGGGAAGAGGACCCGAATAAGTAAAGCATTTCATTACTCAAGAAGAAGAACAAGGTGGGAGGCCTCACACTACCTGATTTTAGAACCTATTATACCACCACGGTAGTCAAAACAGCCTAGTACTAGTACAAAAGCACATACATAGACCAGTGGAACAGAATTTTGAATCCAGACAAATTCATCCACCTATTAGCAGCTGATATTTGACAAAGGCCCAAAGTCCATTAATTGGGGAAAAGAGTGTCTTTAACAAAAGGTGCTGGCGTAACTGGATATTCATCTGCAAAAAACTGAAACAAGAACCATACCTCACACCATGCACAAAAACTAACTCAAAAGGGATCAAAGATTTAAATATAAAGTCAAAAATGATAAAGATCATGGAAGACAAAATAGAGACAACACTAGGAGCCCTAAAACATGGCATAAACACAATATGAACTGTAAGTAACAATGCACAAGCACCAGAAGAGAGACTAGACAAATGGGAGCCCCCAAAAATGAAACTTACGCTCATGAAAAAACTTCACCAAAAAAGTAAAAAGACATCCTACAGACTGGGAAAAAATTTTTGACAACAACAAATCCAGTCAGCATCTAATCTCTAAAATCTGCAAGATACTGCAAAACCTCAAGAACAAAAAGACAAATAACCTAATTATAAACTGGGCAAAGGATATGAACAGGCACTTCACCAAAGAAGATATTCAGGCAGCTAACAGACACATGAAGAAATGCTCACAATCGTTAGCCATTAGAGAAATGCAGATCAAAACTGCAATGAGACATCATCTCACCCCAACAAGGCTAGAATTAATCCAAAAAACAGAAAACAATAATTGCTAGAGAGGTTTTGGAGAGCCTGGAACACTTATACACTGTTGGTGGGAATGTAAAATGGTACAACCACTTTGGAAATCAATTTGGCGCTTCCTTAAAAAGCTAGAAATAGAGGTACAATACCATTCTGCTATCTTGCTCCTTGGAATATATCCTAGAGAAACAAGAGCCATCACACAAATAGATATATGGACACCCATGTACATTGCAGCACAGTTCACAATAGGCAAAAGATGGAAACAACCTAGGTCCCCATCGGTGGACTAATGGATAAACAAATTATGGTATATTCACACAATAGAATACTATGCAACAATAAAGAACAACGATGAATCCGTGAAACATCTTACAACATGGAGGATACTGGAGGGCTTTAAGCTGAGTGAATTTAGTCAGTCACAGAAGGTCAAATATTGTATAAGGCCACTATTGTAAGAACTCAGGAAAAGGTTTAAACACAGAAGAAAACATTCTTTGATGGTTACGAGGGTGGGGAGAGAGGATGAGGGTTATTTACTAACTAGATAGTAGATAAGAATTATCTTAGGTGAAGGGAAGGGCAGCACTCACTACAGGGGAAGTCAACACAACTGGACTAAACCAAAGCTAAGAAGTTTCCTCAATACAATCAAACACTTTGAGGGACAGAGTAGCAGGAGTTGCAGTCTGGTGACCATGATTTCAGGGGACATCTAGGACAATTGGCATAACAAAGCTTATTAAGAAAATGTTCTGCATCCTACTTTGGTGAGTGATGTCTGGGGACTTAAAAGCTTGCAAGTGGCCATCTAAGATGCATCAATTGGTCCCAACCACCTGGAGTAAAGGAGAATGAAGAACACCAAAGATACAAGAAAAGTGTTAGCGCAAGAGACAGAGAGGGCCACATAAACCAGAGACTTCATCAGCCTGAGACCAGAAGAGCTAGATGGTGCCCGGCTACCACCAATGACTTCCCTGACAGGGAACACAACAGAGAGTCCCGGATGGAGCAGGAGAAAGGTGGGGTGCAGAACTCAAATTCTACTAAGAAGACCAGACTTAATGGACTGACTCAGACTGGAGGATCCCCAGAAATCATGCCCCCTGGATTCTCTATCAGCCCAGAACTCAAACAATTTCTGAGGCCAACTCTTCAGACAGGGATTGTACTGGACCCTGGGACATAAAAAGCGATACTCGTGAGGAGTGTGCCTCGTAGCTCAAGTAGATACAAGAGACTAAACTGGCAGCTTCTGCCTGGAAGTGAGATGGGAGGGCTGAGAGGATTAGGAGCTGGCTGTATGGACATGGGGAATCAGGGTGGAAAGGAAGAGTGTGCTGTCACAGTATGGGGAGAGCAATTGGAGTCACATAACAATGTATGTATAAATTTTTGTATGGGAAAAAATAAAAAAAGAAAGAAATACATATTTAAAATTGTTTAAAATGATGTTTCCAATATTCTTTAGGTTATTGATAAGTTTATTGTGTCATGATATTATTCTGGTATATATTTCCTCAAATATGTAATGATTTCTCAGAACTCTCCATCAATTCATTAATAAGAAAAAGATCATATAATAGCACTTCATCTCCTTCTAATAAATAAATGTGAGTCACTAAAATAAGGTAATATAGTGCAATAAAGTTTTGTATGTGTTAACATTCCAATTCCCACTTCTTTGGAGCACTCAGTTCTTAACCATTATTGTGTTACAATATTGTCATCAATCCATAAATCATTTTTTTTTAACCAATACTGCATTTTGATTTTTAACCCAGGTGTTATAATAGTTTAAAATATTTCTGTGGAATATGACTTTTAATAAGCAAGGATATTCTTATTTATGAGATTCTTTATTCTTCAATAATTCATTGCTTTTTATTACTCCAGCCAAAAATATTTTATCGAAAGCAGAATGTCTTTAAAAATTACTTATTCTTCCCTGAGACATTTGTGTAAGGCTCTAAGTCAATTAGAACCAGAACTTTAGATTCTCAGTGGCAAAGTGAGCACTGACACTTACCCTCCTCCCCACCTAGTTTGATCTTGTCATGTACACAGCACGTATTTCCTTCTCAAGCCCAGTTTCTCACAGAGCACAGACCTTGACACCCCTCAGCTGCAGAGATGAATAATCAAACAGTAACTTACTCAGAACTGAATCTGGCCAAGAAGCCAAAAAGGCAGCAAATCAAACCTAAGGATGCTGATAGCTCCTTTTCAGTCACTGAGCGGGAAATAACTTACGTGGAATTAAACTTTCATAATGCTTCTCAAGATCTTCAAAAGAAGGACAAGACTTTCCACTGCAAAGGTAAATCATCTAATCAGTTCTCAATATAACTGCCTTACAAACAATGTGCAGATCTAGGGCAGAAATGTGGGGAAACAGTGAAAATGAAGACATGGAGCAAGGGTAGTCAGATTAAGGGAGTAGGCTCACTGGTTTTCATTTTTGAGGGTCAGACCTGTAGTTCGGATATTGTGTTCTACTTTGAAATCTGAAGGTGAATTCTATCCAGGCATTGTTGAAATTCGTGGGCTTTGAAGAACAACTCATGCGCTATTTTTTTACTGAAAATGTGATGGTATATTCTGAGAGAAAAAGTACAATAGAGACTGTGGGTTCAATGTCCACTATTTCTGTACATGATTCCCTGTGCATCTGGGTTCTCCTGTATGTAAACACTCTGAACACTGGCTCCATCCATCCTTTCTCAGTACTTCCATTTCTCTCTCTGCACATCTCCCATCGCCTCCAGGGAAGCTCATTGCTGGGACCCTGGGACTCATCTGCCTTGTCTTGACGGCCAGTGTAATAACCATGACAGTCACAGTTATTACTACTTGTAAGTTTTTGTAAGATTATGAGGGAATATTCCTCTTAAAGGTTTGAAAGTGCCTCTGTATATTTCACATGTTATGGAATAGAATTCTCATTTTAATGTATGTACTTGTGTGATATGTTTACCAGGATTTTTAGTCTTAGTAAATAAAGAATGCCACAAAAATGTGAACAAAATGTGGAAAAGTTATTCTGAGGTTTTCAAGAGTATAAATAAACAGAATGTAGAGAATATACGTTTATAATTCTACATGTGTGTATTGTATGTGTGTGTGTTTGACACATCTCAAAGACTTGCAATGAGAGACTGAGAACACTTACTGCGAATAAAATTAATATTTGAATGTAGTTAATTCAAATACTGTCAGAGGTGATAAAATTTCTCCGTTAGACTGTCCGTATATTTTTTCGAAAACCTTCATTACTTACTATTTTTTTTGGTAAAATCATTTTTAATATACATTATTACAATTTTTAATGTTATACTAAATTTGAAACTAGGAAACTAAAATTATTATGATTTATTACAGAAATATTAATCTCAATAATAATTACTACAATCTTTCTAGCTATTGGAATGATGAACAAGAACAGAACTCAGAAAGGTATGTCATAATTTTAAAAGTTCTGAGATAAACCAAAACCAAACCCATTGCCAGTGAGTCAATTCCAACTCCTAGAGACACTATAGGACAGTTTAGAACTGCCCCCATAGGGTTTCCAAGGAGCAACTGGTGGATTTCAACTGCCGACCTTTTGGTTAGCAGCCAAACTCTTAAACACTGTACCACCATATTAAGATTGTATTTTGTCTCTATTTTATGTCATGAAGAGATAATAACAGATTTTTTTAAAACCTTCAAAAATATAGCAATATATTTTCATAAATAAAGATCATAGGAGGAACTCCTTCTTGTTCAACAGTTAGAGGAAATATGCTTTTACAATCACTATAGCCTTCTTTTGACAACTGCCTCAAAGTTCCTACTGCTCCTGTAAATATTAAACAAAACCATACAAACAAAACTCATTCTTGTTGAGTGGATTCCAACTCATAGTAACCCTATAGGACAGAGTAGAACTGCCCTGTAGGATTTCCAAGGAGTGGCTGGTGGATTTGAACTGCTGACTTTTTCTTAGCAGCCAAGCTCTTAACCACTGCGCAACCAGGGCTCTGCCTACAAAATTCTATGAGGAAGTTCTACTGTGTCATATTGGGTTGTTATGAGTTGAAAATTGACTCAACAGCACCTAACAACAACAGCATGATCAGAAATAGTTTTGTTATTCTAATAAAGTGGTGTTGTTCAGTGGTTTTCAGGACATTCATATGATAGTGCTTTTGTTTATTTGCTTTTTAATTGTACATAAATTGGGGCTGGGAGGCTGACCTTTTCTGTGTGTATGTGTTTTTTATATGTATGCGTGAATGCATGAGATTGCATATATAGGTTATGTAGATACATACTTATGCCTATGCAAATGTGTCAACTAATTTATATTTTTTAATTCAAATTGTTTCTGGATAGTGATCATATTCTTTTTTCAGCTAATCATTGTCACCGTTGTCCAGAGGACTGGCTCTCCTATTCCAACCATTGCTATTATATTAGCAGTGATATAAAAAACTGGACTGAGAGTCGGATGGCCTGTGTTTCTAAGAAATCTAATCTGTTTTATATAGATAATGAAGAAGAAATGGTAAGATTTCAAATATTTGAAATATTTTATTGAAAGGTATAACATACTAAAAGAAATGTATACAAAATAATATATTTGAGTGAATAGCAGGTATTTATCAACAAATATTACTGGTATGCCATGTTTCCTGTGCATCTTAAACAATAAAGATTTGCCTACTTTGCAAGCTTATATAAAGAGAATTATACTACATGAAGTGTTTAGTGTCTTACATATTTCAGTTAATGTTGAGTTTTTGGGATTCACCCATATTTTTGTCCATGTTGTTGTTAGTTGCCCTTGAATTGACTCCGACCCATGGAGACCTTATGAACGAGGAAAACGTTGTCTGGTCCTGTGCCATCTGAATGGTCATTGTTGTCTCTGAGTCCATTGTTGTCCATTCATCTCACTGAACATTTCTCTTATTTTCAGTGGCCCTTTGCTTTACCAAGCGAGATGTCCTTTTTTAGTGATTGGTCTTTCCCGATGACATGTCTGAAGTAAGCAAGCCAAAGTCTTGCCATCCTTGCTTCTAAGCAGCATTCTGATTGTGATTCTTCTAAGAATAATTTTTCCAAAGTTGTGCTTTATTTTTTTCAAGGCTACATACTACTCCATTGTGTGACTTGACAATGCTTTATTTATATTTTATACCATTAAAATACTTTGGTTTATATCCAGTTCTTTCTATTTATGAAAAACAACACTTCCATAAATTTTTTTTCCCTAAAATAAACTTTGTTGTTTCATTTGACCATAAACAAATAAACAAAATTGTGAAGATTAATCACAAAATGAATAGACCCATGTAATTACAAACCAAGTCAAGAAATAAAAAATGGTAGCAGCCCTTCCCGCTTTAGCTCTGCCCCTGTGTATGCTCTTATCACTTCTCCTTCTTCTTCCCAAACCACTCTCCTGACTTTTATTACAGATTAGTTTTACTTGCTTTTGAACTTTGTATAAATGGCATCATATGGCATGCATTTTTAGTATCTCCTTTTACTCTCATATGGTATTTGTGCAGGTGAACCATACTGTTGTGGTTAGTTGTAGTTCGTTCATTTTCAGTGCTGTGTTGTGTGAGTAAACCCACCAAAAATAAAGAAAAAACCTAACCAGTTGCCATGGAGATGATTCCGACTCACAGAGGCCCATGTGTTTCAGAGCAGAACTGCACTTCAGGAGTTTTCAGTGGCTGTAACTTTCAGAAGTAGGTTGCCAGGCTTGTCTTTACAGGCATGTCTGGGTAGTGTTGAACCTTCAAACTTTCCATTAGTGGCCAAGTGCTTAACCATTTGTACAGCCAGGAGCTCATTGTTATGTGAATAAACATTTTAAAATCCATCCTGTGGTGAATAGAAATTTAACTATTATGATAACACTTAGCTACTATTTAGCTATCATGTGTAATTATTCTCTAAATATCTTTCTGGGTGTCTTTTGTCGATACATTACCTAGATGCACAGGAATGAAATTGTAGGATCATGTACGGTTATAGGTGTATGTACATGTCAATATTTTTGAATTATCCCGACAGTTTACTAGTTCATAGCACACATACACATATTATCGAACAGTGTTTGAACCTGTCCCTTGATCCACGTCCTCATCAAAACTTAGTAGTATGAGAAATTTTAAAAGTAGAAGTTTTGATTGTTCTATGATAGTATCATTATATTAATAGACATTTTCCTAATTATTGTTAGACTGAACACATTTTCACGTGCTATTGGCCAGTAGAACATCTTCTTTTACCAACTGCCTATTCATGTCTCTTGTTTGTTTTTCCTCTGAGATTGTCAGTCTTTTCCCACCAATAAATTCTTCACATATTTTGGATATGATCTCTTTTTGATTTGATAACTTTATAAGAGATTTACTTTTCTTTGTGGCTTATGTATTTACTCCCATGTTGGAGTCTTTTAATGAATAGAATTGATTAATATTAGCATACTCTAATTTCTCATTTATATTATTAGTGCTTATTTTAGAGCTATTTTAGTAATGAATCAAATTTCAGTATATATAATCTACTAAATTAATCTGTCAATTTCATATTTTATCTTTTCTTAAAATTTTTTTTCTGAAAATGTTTACGTATTACATTTAGATGTATTGTTAGGTGTCGTTGAGTCGGTTCCGACTCATAGCAACCTCATTTACAACAGAACGAGACACTGCCCAGTCCAGTGCCGTCCAGACAATTGTTGTCCTACTTGAGTCCATTGTTGCAGACACTGTGTCAGTCAATCCCTTTTATGGTCTTCCTCTTTTTCACTGACCCTCTATTTTACCAAGCATGATGTCCTTCTCCAGGGACTGGTCCCTCCTGCTAACATGTCCAAAATACGGGAAACAAAGTCTGCTCATCCTTGCTACTCATGAGCATTCTGGCTGTACTTCTTCCAAGACAGACTTGTTCGTTCTTCTAGCAGTCCATGATATATTCAACACCTTCACCAACACCATAATTTAAATGCATCATTTCTACTTCTCTCTTCCTTGTTCATTTTCCAGCTTTCACATGCATATGAGGCTACTGAAAACACTAAGACTTGATTCAAGCGCACCTTAGTCCTCAAAGTGACTTGTTTGCTTGTTAGCACTTTATAGAGATCTTTTGGAGCAGAGTTTGCCCTAAGCAATGTGTCACCTTTCTCTTGACTGCTGTTTCCATGGGCATTGATTAAGGCTCCAAGTAAAATGAAATCCTTGACAACTTCAATACTTTCTCCATTTATCATGAGGTTACTTATTGGCCCAGTTATGATATATTGGTCCAGATATATAATCTATTGAAATTCATTTTTCGTGATGCTGATAGAAGGTTATACTTTTCAACATCATTATCTAATTGAGTGAGTATAATTTATGGTCAAAATGATCAGTTATCTATTCCTCTTTGTGGCCACCTTTGTCATAAATCAAGGATATCGATGTACATTTGTATGTGGATGTGTTCTTGGTCGCTACTGTGTTTCACTTTTCTATTCTTTTTTCTTGCATCAATATCCCATGGGCGAAATCACTGAAGCTTTCTCTTCATTCTGTCTATTCAGCGCAGTAGTGTTCTCCTTCAGGATTTATTCACTTCTTCTGCGCTTAGCCCTTTACATTTCTATATAAATATTCTCAAAACGTATGCTGTGACTCTATTTAAGTTATGTTAAATCAATAGATTAATTGTTGAAAATTGACATCTTAATAATGTAATATCTTAACCGGATTTTATCCTCCATTTATCTTCTCTCAGCATGGTTTTGTGTAGAAGTCTTGAAATTTGAAATCAAATGTTTGTTTGATTTGGCTCCGGTTATCTTTTATATTTCCTTTTCTGATGTTTCTAATTTCTCACTTTGCTAATGGTATGTGGACGTTGACCTTGTGTCCAGCAATCTTTCTAAACACGCTTAGTAATTCTAGTAATTTGGCTCTAAGTTCCTTTTGACTTTCTGCCACAAAATTTAATCATGTAAGACCTGTGTCAGTTGTATTCCTTCTGTTACAATTTATACCTAGTTTATTTATGTATTTACTTGAAAGACTGCTCACTTCAAAACTGAGGAGAGAAAGTGCTATTGGGCATCATGGTCTCATTGACCTGTGTCGCAGTAACAGCTTTAATCATTTCATCACCGGGTACATATTCTGTTGGTTTTTTTGAAGACAACTCCATCCGAATAAGGAAGTTTACTTTTTCTCCCTTTTAAAACCATTTACTGAGGTATACTTGACATAAAATAAACTGTACATATTTAAATCATATAATTTCTTGAGTTAATATATGTATATACCTGTGAAACCATCAATTATAAATAATGAATACAACTGTTACCCTCAAAAGTTTCATTAATCACCTTTATAGCCCCTTCTCCCACCCTTCACCTATCCCCAATTATAGACAACCACTGATCTACCTTCTATCATCATTGATTATTTGGCATTTTCTATAATTATTTTTTATAAATGGAATCACACATTTTTTCTTCTTTCTTTCATTTAACATAATTATTTTGAAATTCATCTATGCTGTAGCATTTTTCAAGAGTTTATTATTTTCATTCAGGAGCAGTACGTGTGTGGATATGCCACAATTTGTTTATCTGTTCAATCGTTAGTTAACATCCAGATGTGTATGTCAAGGTTGCAATTTCATCTGTTCTTTTTGTATTATTTTATAAGTGAAACATAACTCACTTGCATTCAACTGCCCAAGTTTTGCATGTACAGTTCAATGACTGACAAAGATATGCATCTATGAACACACCACACCAAGCAAGACAATATTTCTTTGATCCCGTAAGTACTCACTTTCAGATGCCTGATTTCCAACGTATCTTAGTTTTTCTTCTATCAATGCTTCACTTCACAAGTGAGTACATATTCCCTGATTTGTTGATTGATTCCCCTGTTTATGGACACTTGAAATGTCTCCAGAATTTTTCAATTCTGAAAAAAAACTACTATGAAAAACTTGTGCAAAAAGCTATCTGTACATACATTTTCAATTTTGTGGAATTCAAGTGAAATTCCTGTATTGTAAGTGAAGTATATGTTTAACTTTAAAATAAAGTCTTGGCAGAATCTTTTCAACATGTTTGCACCATTGTCCACTCCTAAAATTGTTTGAGAGTTTCATGTCATCTATATCCTTGTTAACACATGGAATTACCAGATATCTTCTTAGTATGTCTTTTATTAATTAATTAATTTTTTGAGTAATTTTTGGTGCTTTCAATAATTTGTTTTTACCAAGATTGCAAAAGTTATTAGCATACAATTTTTCAGAACATTTTACTCTTTGTTTTTATTTCAGTAATATCTGCAGTTGTTGTTGCTGTTGTTAGTTACCTTCAAGCCACCTCCAGCTAATGGCGACCTTATGTACAACACAGCAAAAGGCTGCCCAGTCCTGTGCGATCTGCATGGTCCTAACATCTGTAGTTGTGTCCCCTCTTTTGATTTCTGTATATAATTTATGGCTTCTGTCTTGGTATTCGTCTTTCTGCTTGGAGGTTCATCAATTTAATTAATCTGTGTGAGAAAATGATTTGGTTTCATTTATTTATTCTGTTTTACAGTTGTCATTTTCATTAATTTATGCTATTATCTTTTTGTATTTTTCCTTCTTTATTTGAGTTTTTCTCTTCATTTTCTTGAAGGTGAAGTTACATCATTTACTTCAGACCTTTTGTATTTTATAAAATAAGACCTTAACGTGGTAGATTTACCTCTTGACACTGCTTTAACTACAATTCACAAATATTGACCTGCTGTGTTTTCGTTTCATTCTATTCATTTTTTTAAATTTGTGACACTCTCATTGACCTCTTACGTTATTTAAATTCTTCACATATTCTCTTTTATTATTAATTTCTAATTATATTGCACTGTATTAAAAGAAAATATTTTCTATGATTCCAGTTCTTTGAAATCTGTTGATGTTTGTTTTATGGCCCAGTGTATGGTCTATGTTGGTGAATATCCTATGTGCATGTGACGAGAATGTACATTATTGTGTGATGTGTTCTATGAATGTCCATTAGGTTAAGATAGTTGATCGTGATGTTCAACTCTTCTATTAATGATTTTCTGTCTACGTGTTCTATTGGATAGAGAGAAAAGAGTACTAAAGTCAACAGACATAACTGTGGATTTGTCTTTTTCACCTTCAACTCTATCAGATTTGCTTTATGTATATGAAACTTTCATGTTAGGTACATACATATTAAAAGTTATTTTGTCTTTTTTGATCAATTGACTCATTTATCATTCTATAATGGTCCTCTTTAATTCTTGTAATATTCCTTGTTCTGGATATTAGTTTGTTAAATAGTATTTCAGTTATCTAGGGCCGCTATAACAGAAATACCAGAAGTGAATGGCTTTAACAAGCAGAAATTTATTGTCTCACAGTCTAGTAGGCTACAAGTCCAAATTGTTGACATCAGCTCCAGGGAAAGGCTTTCTCTCTCCGTCAGCTTTGAAGGAAGGTGCTTGTCATCAGTCTTCCCCTGGTCAAGGAGTTTCTTAGTTCAGGGACCCTGGGTCCAAAGGATGCATTATTCTACTGGCTCTCGTTTCTTGGAGGTACGAGATCCCCCGACTCTTAGCTTGCTTCTGACTTTTATATCTCAAAAGAGATTGGCTGAAGACACAATCCAGTCTTGTAGATTGAGTCCTACCTCACTAACATGACTGCAATTAATCCCATCTCAACATCATAGAGATAGAATTTACAACACATAGGAAAATCCTATCAGATGACAAAATGGTGGACAGTCACACAATGCTGGGAATGATGACCTAGCCAAATTGACACACAGATTTTTGGGGATACAATTTAATCTGTGACTCATAGTAATATAGTCAATGAAATATTTTTGTATTAGTGTTTGTATGACATAGACTTTCAATAAAAAAAAAATTAACCCATCAGATCTATACTTAATAAACACTCCAGAGAAAAATGATCAAGCAGAATGCAAAAATTATCAAAATTTTTACTGAAGATAATTCAAAAGCAGCTGTAGCTGTACATTGACAGGGAAGTGCCAGACTTTAAGCTGGGTTCAGAACCGAACGTGGGATATCATTGTTGACGTTAGAGGGATCATTGCTAGAAGCAGAGAATACTAGAAAGATGTTTACCTGTGTTTTATTGACTATTCAAAGACATTCAGCTGAGTGGATCATAACAATTATATATAACATTATGAAGAATGGGAATTCCAGAAGACATAATTGTGCTCATGTAGATTCTGTACACAGACCAAGAGGCAATCATTCGAACAAAACAAGGGGATGCTGCACGGTTAAAATCAGGAAAGGTGTACCTTAGGGTTGTATTCTTTTACCATACTTATTTATCTTGTATGCTGAGCAAATAATCCAAGAAACAAGACTATATGAAGAAGAACGCAGCATCAGGATTGGAGAAAAACTCATTAACAACCTTTGATATGCAGATGACACAATCATTCTTGCTTAAAGCCAACAGGGCTTGAAGCACTTACATGTGAAGATCAAAGACTACAGCCTTCAGTGTGGAGTACAACTCAGCATAAAGAAAACAAAAATCCTTACAATTAGACCAATAAGCAACATCATCATAAATGGAGAAAACATTGAAGTTGTAAAGGATTTCATTTTAATTGGATTCACAATCAATACCAACAGAAGCAGCCGTCAAGATATCAAACGATGTATTGCATTAGGCAAATCTGCTGCAAAAGATCTCTTTTTAAAGTGTTAAAAAGCAAAAATGTCACTTTGAGTACTAAGGTACCTGACCCAAGCCGTGATGTTTTCAATGGCCTCATATGCATGTGAAAGCTGGACAATGAGTTAAGAAGCCTGAAGAAGAATCCATGCTTTTGAATTTCAGGTGTTGGCGAAGAATATTGAATATACCACAGACTGCCAGAAGAAGGACTATATCTGTGTTGGAGGAGGTACAGCCAGAATGCTCCTTAGAAGCGAGAATGGGGAGACTTCATGTCACATACTTTGGCTTTGGACATGTTATCAGGATGGACTAGTCGCTGGAGAAAGACATCCAGCTTGGTAAAGCAGAGGACAAACAGAAAAGAGGAAGATCCTCAACGAGATGGATTGACATAGTGGCTGCAACAATGGGCTCAAGCATAATAACGATTGTGAGGATGGTGCAGACCAGGCAGTGTTTCGTTCTGTTGTGCACTGGGTCGCTATGAGTTTTCATTGTTCTTTCTTCCTCCTGATGCTTCAACAGTCTTTCTTATTCATTTCTGTTTGAAGAACTTTCTTAGTTGTAATGAGTAGGTTTGCTATTGACACGTTCTTTTAGTTTTTCTACATCTGAGAATGTATTTATTTCCCCTTCATACCTGAAAGTATAGTTTCACTAGGTATTGAATCCTTCTATTTCTCTCTCTCATTTGGTATGTGTGTCAGTATGTTTGTGTGTCACTGTCTTTCTAAATTAAACCTTCTACCAGCACAAAAAGTGGTAGAACCAGGACTAGTCTAGTTGAAGAAAGAGGTGGGGCCCAGAAAACCAAATGTTTGACTTCTATGTCATGTATCTCCTCAATGGCAGCCCTTTAGTTTCCTTTGTAAAACCAAACCCTGAGAAACATAGTAGAAAAACACACTGTTTTGGAGGGAAGAATGTAATAGTATCTGGAAGCTTATTTAAACCCTTATTATGCTGGTTTTTCGTGGGAGAAGGATGTGACAGTCTGCTTCTGTAAAGATTACAGCCTTGGAAACCCTGTGGGACAGATCTACTCTCTCCTATAGGATCGCTACGAGTCGGAATCGAATCAATGGAAGTGGGTTTGTTTTGTTTTGGTTATGCTAGTTTATCAAACCCTGGCAACTATTAAGTTACATGAATTTAAACTTTTTTTAGTAAAACTAGGAGAGTAACACTATTAAGTATTAATATTTAAATAGTAACTTTTGGATGAAAAGCCAACACATTTGTGAAAGTTTTTGACAATATGAAATTTGATTTTCAACTTTGATATATTTTTAGTGTTAGAATCTAGCACACTTATCTTGTTTTGAAAATTAAAGATGAAGTAAAAGAAAACACTACCTGAATGCTTTTAAGTAATAAAAGTCTTTATAAAGGTTGTTAAAACAGTTTTTTTTGTTTTACGATAGACGTTGATGAAGATTCTATCATCTTTTTCATGGATTGGACTCTATCGTGAAAGCAGTCATTATTCCTGGTTCTGGATAAATGGCCCACCTTCCAGCCAAATGTAAGTTTTTCTGAATGACATCATATAGAAGAAAAAATACAAAAGAAAAATCCACATAAGTAATATTAATAAATAGGACTAAATTGAATTACAGACATGTAGAAAGAAATTGAAAATTAATGACATGAAATATTGATATAAATATTACTTAAGAATGAAGTACTCAGTGTTTATAAAAATTATTACTAATATTTTGTGAGAAATGTCATTACCCATTTTTATAATATTTTTCTATTATTGTTGCATAGAAAATGCCTTTTTTTATGAATTACCACACAAAAAAATAATGGGTTTATGCATTTTTATGCATTACAGGATAACAGAGCCATCAAATCCTAGATACAACTGTGTAATGGTATTCAAATCTAGACTTCAATCAGCAAGTTGTGGAGATGAAAAAATATACATTTGTAAGCATGAGATTTTGAGTTAAAACACCTGAGCTTGGAGTCCTTCAGGTATCTTTATATTTCATGAAATGGAAATAATATCATAATTGTAAAAGTCTTATAACAAATTAGATTATTTGTTCATCTGGAAGCTCCACATTTGGAACCCTCCTGGAGTTTCCCCTATGTACTTCTTCCCTTGTCTGATTTTCATCCGTACCCTTTGCTGTAATAAAATATAACCATGAGTATAACAACTTTCTTGTGTTCTGTGAGTCTTTATATTGTTAACTATGTTTACTTATCTGTATAACTTTGTAACAAAATAAAAATATCTAAATTCTGTAGTTTTATAAGAAATCAGAATATCTGGTTGTGTGAGTGCTCAAATTTTTTATTCTTTTGTGTATGATTGGCCATTTACATTTCAATACAATTTTTCATACCAGCTTAATGGTTTCCACAATGAAAACTCTACTGGGGATTGAACTTCTTGAATGGTGGAGTGAAGACTTCTATCAATATCCTTTATAAAGAGAAGAAAACACTTTATAAAGGGAAGAAAATGTTCAGATCCACTTTTTCAAGACTCCGGGAATTAAACAAAGGCTTGAGACAATACAGGGAGTATTTCTTCAAGAGAAAATGCTGAACCTCAGTTAGAAAGATAGTGTCTGTGGCATTTTAACTTGGCCTGCACCAAACATCCTCTCCCCAGCTCCATGGTAGCCATGAAAACTAGGAGCTATGCCACTACTGAAGAGGAAGACCAAGTCTGGAGCTCTTAAGTGTCCCATTAGCAGGATATTGTCATTATTTGACCTTTCTCAGAGCTCCCTGGAAAACCCC